AAATATAAACAATAATGACAAATAGCTTGTGTTTGCCAATACAGGAAATATTTTGATATGTTGTAGTCACAATATAGTCATTCTTTAAACTCTAAGCAAGGCATTAAGACCTTTTTGTTTGTTTGATTTTGTGTTTTGAGACAGGGTTTCTCTGTGTAGCCCTGGGTGTCCTGGAACTCTCTCTGTAGACCATGCTGGCCTCGAACTCAGAGATCCATTTGCCTGCCTGCCATGTGATAGGTTTAAAGGCATGTGCACCACCACCTGGCCATATTAAATTTTTTTAAAGCAGATTTCTTTCAAGGATTAAATATACTGAAAGGAAAATCACCATATTGATACCTGCTCTGTTGTTTCATTTAGATTCTCAGGACAGATATGGGCAAGTATAAGTAAAAATCTGGTACATATTCTCTTCTTGAAACAAATTTGGGGTTTATTACAAAAAAGTTTCAATGTTGATTTAAACTTAAATATTGATGGTTGTTGAGAGGAGGCGAGAGGTGTAAAAGGACAGTTGTCCATGCTCTAGTGGGTACAGGCTTCTCAAGAGAATTCTGTTGTATGTATTTTCAAATACCAATATTGTAAAAATGATTAGCCCTAGTCTTTTTTTATTTTTAAAAATGTTTATTAAATTAAAAACAATAAAAAAATCTTATTTTACATACCAATCCCAATTCCCTCTCCATCCTGTCCTTCATTCCCCCCCCCATCTCCTCATTCCATCCCCTATCTCAAAATAAAACAAAAGCCTCTACTCATTTTCCACTTTCAAGGCTTTTGCTTATTTTTGAGATAGAATCTTGCTGTGTAGCTCAGGCCAGCCTTGTAGCAAGCCTCTTGCCTCAGTTTCTTTTTTTTTCCTAGATTTTTTAAAAATTAAAAACAATCTTATCTTACATATCAATCCCAGTTCCCTCTCTCCCCCATCCTCCCATGCCCCCCACTAATCCCCCTATCCCATCCCCCTTCTGCTCTCCAGGGAGGGTGAGGCCTTCCATGGGGGATTGTCAAAGTCTGTCACATCATTTGGGACAGGACACAGGCCCTTCCCTGTGTTTCTAGACTGAGAGTGTCCCTCTATGGGAAATGGGCTCCCAAAGTCCATTAGTACACTAGGGATAAATAGTGTTCCACTACCAGAGTCCCCATAGATTGCCTAGGCCTCCTAACTGACACCCATGTTCAGAGGGTCCTATGCTGGTTTCCCATATGTCAGTCTGGGACCATGTTCAGGTCCCCTTGTTCAGGGTTTCCTCAGCCTGGTCTTGACCCCTTTGCTCATCACTCCTTCCTCTCTACAACTAGATTCCAGGAGTTTGGCTCAGTGCTTAGCTGTGGGTCTCTACTTCGCTTCCATCAGCTCTACTGGATGAAGGCTCTAGGATTGTATATAAAGTAGTCATCAATCTCATTATAGAGGAAGGGCATTTAAGATAGCCTCTCCACTATTGCTTAGACTCTTGTTTTTTGTTTTGTGTTTTGAGACAGGGTTTCTCTGTATTACTTTGGAGCCTGTCCTGGAACTAGCTCTGTAGACCAGGCTGGCCTTGAACTCACAGAGATTCACCTGCCTCTGCCTCCTGAGTTCTGGGATTAAAGGCGTGTGCCACCAACACCCGGCTATTGCTTAGTTTCTTATTTGGAGTCATCCTTGTAGATCCCTAGTTCTAGATTTCTCTTTAAGCCTATAATGGCTACCTCTATTAAGGTATCTCTTTTCTTGCTCTCCTCTATTCTTCCCTCTATCCATTCTTCAGTTGAGGAGCATCTAGGTTGCTTCCAGATTCTGGTTATTATAAATAATGCTGCTATGAACATAGTTGAACAGATGTCTTTGTTGTATGTATGTGCATCCTTTGGGTATATGCCTAAGAGTGGAATTGCTGGATCTTGAGGTAGACTGATTCCCATTTTCCTGAGGAATGCCATACTGATTTCCAAAGTGGCTGGACAAGTTTGCATTCCCACCAGCAGAGGAGGGGTGTTCCCCTTTCTCCATATCCTCTCCAGCCTAAACTGTCATTGGTGTTTTTGATTTTAGCTATTCTGACAGGTGAAGATGGTATCTCAGAGTTGTTTTGATTTGCATTTCCCTGATGGCTAAGGATGTTGAGCACTTTCTTAAGTGTCTTTTAGCCATTTTAGATTCCTCTATTGAGAATTCTCTATTTAGTTCTATACCCCACTTTTTAATTGGATTATTTCATGTTTTGGTGTCTAGCTTCTTGAGTTCTTTGTATATTTTGGAAATCAGCCCTCTGTCAGATGTGGGGTTAGTGAAGATCTCCCATTCTGTGGGCTGCCGTTTTGTTGACTGTGTCCTTTGCCTTACAGAAGCTTCTCAGTTTCAGGAGGTCCCATTTATTAATTGTCGATCTCAGTGTCTGTGCTACTGGCGTTATGTTTAGGAAGTGGTCTCCTGTACCAATTCATTCAAGGATATCCCACTTTCTCTTCTAAGAGGTTCAGTGTGGCTGGAGTTATGTTGAGGTCTTTGATCCATTTGGACTTAAGTTTTGTGCATGGTGATAGATATAGATCTATTTGCATTCTTCTACATGCTAGCATCCAGTTATGTCAGCACCATTTGTTTAAGATGCTTTCTTTTTTTCATTTTACAATTTTAGCTTCTTTGCCAAAAATCAGGTGTTCATAGGTGTCTGGGTTAATATCAGGGTTTTCAGTTCGATTCCATTGGTAATAACAAGCTGTTTTCAGTACTATAGCTCTATAATAGAGCTTGAAGTCAGGGATGGTGATTCCTGTAAAGTACAAGGTTGTTTTGACTATCCTGGGTTTTTTGACTATCCTGGGTCTTTTGTTTTTCCATATAAAGTTGAGTATTATTCTTTCAAGGTCTGTGAAGAATTGTGCTGGGATTTTGATGGAGATTGCATTGAATCTGTAGATTGCTTTTGGTAAGATTGCCATTTTTACTATGTTGATCCTTCCTATCCAAGAGCATGGGAGATCTTTCCATTTTCTTGTGTCTTCTTCAATTTCTTTCTTCAAAGACTTAAAGTTATTGTTATACAGGTCTTTCACTTGTTTGGTTAGTGTTACCCCAAGATATTTTATGTTGTTTGTAGCTATTGTAAAGGGTGGTGTTTCTCTGATTTCCTTTTCAGTCCATTTATCAACTGTATATAGTAGAAGTACTGATTTCTTTTGAGTTAATCTTGTATCCTGCCACTTTGTTGAAGGTGTTTATCAGTTGTAGGAGTTTCCTGTAGAATTTTTTTCAGGTCACTTATGTAAACTATCATATCATCTGCAAATAGTGAAAGTTTGACTTCTTCCTTTCCAGATTGTATCCCCTTGATCTTCTTTGTTGTCTTATTGCTCTAGCTAGAACTTCAAGTACCATATTGAAGATTTATGGAGAGAGTGGACAGCTTTATCTTGTTCCTGATTTTAGAGGCATCACATTGAATTTCTCTCCATTTAGTTTGATTTTGGCTGTTAGTTTGCTGTATATTGCTTTTATTATCTTTAGGTATGTTCTTGTTATCCTTGATCTCTCCAGGACCTTTATCATGAAGGGGTGATGGATTTTGTCAAAGGCTTTTTCAGTATCTAGTGAGATGATCATGTGGTTTTTCTTTTTCAGTTTGTTTATATGGTGGATTATATTGATGGATTTTCATATGTTGAACCATTCCTGCATCCCTGGGATGAAGCCTACTTGATCATGGTGGATGATTTTTTTGATGTGTTCTTGGATTCGATTTGCCAGTATTTTATTTTGCCAGTATTTTATTGAGTATTTTTGCATCAATATTCATGAGGGAGATTGGTCTGTAGTTCTCTTTCTCAGTTGTGTCTTTGTGTGGTTTGGGTACCAAGGTAATTGTAGCCTCATAAAAAGAGTTTTTGCCTCAGTTTCTTAAGTGCTAGGATTATAGCTGTGTGCTACCACACTGGGCAGGTATTTTTTGTTATAGTCTCAGAAAACAGACTATAATAGATCCTTCCCCATGCTATGCTTCCAGCCAGAATTCAACAAAATTTGAGAAAGGAAGTACGATCAGGGAAGTGCTTTCAAAGTCACAGTTCTCTCTGGTCCCGTTAGTATTGGTGTGCTGTGGGCAGAATGTTGCTATCAGCAAATTCAGCATTGGCAAGGAAGTTGGAATGAGCATGGAGATGAGATGTTTACCCACACTTAAAACAGTATTTGTGTAATGTGGATGACTTGTTTTTCTCTTTGTCAGAGCCATGTCCAAAATGTGAACATCCCCGTGCCTACTTCATGCAGCTTCAGACCCGTTCTGCAGATGAGCCAATGACTACCTTCTACAAGTGCTGCAATGCTCAGTGTGGACATCGCTGGAGAGACTAAGGGCAGGACTTACCCAGCTGCAAGCATGAATTTTGTGTGCTGAAGGTCTTTGCTGTATGATAGGAAGCTGATTCTACTGAGGACTAGGGTAGAACAGGCCATCTGCAAGTCAGCAGATAAAAGTCCTTAATGAACAGGGACCTCAGGTCCTTGGGAAATACACATAAGAATATTCACTTGGCTTCAGGTCCTGTTCATTCATCCTTTGTGTTTAGTAGGTAGGTGATATTTCCTTACTACCATTAGTCCTATAAACTTGGTTTATAGCCAAAGATAATCTTAAACCTCCTATTCTTCCTTCCTCTGCATGTGAACTGTGTTCATTTTATGCAATGCTGGGGATTGAACTCTGAGCCTCATTCACGCTAGACAGGTACTCTGACAACTGAGCTATATCTCCAGCCATTTAGTTTTTAAAATAATTTCTATTTATTTATCTCTAGAGAAATTATAAAAATACCCATAAAATCATTGAAAAGCACTTTAAAATTCAGGATTGACATGATTCATCTTTTATGATTAACAATTAAAAAAACTGTTCTGTGATTTGGATTTTCTGGATGATGTTGATAGGAATTTAAAAGTAACCAAGAATATTTTATATTTCCAGCTAGAGAGAATGATCCACAATAAAGCCTGTGCCTAGCATGTGCAAAGGTCTGTGTTTGAACCACATTCAAAAATCTATTAAAACTTGAATAAATTTAGAAAAGTCACATATTTATTGATACTACTAGTGAGATTACTCTGTATAATGGACATATTTTCTATGTTGGAAGCTCTGATCGCTTCCATGCAACTGGTCAGTCATATATATGATAAAGAGTGCAGATAGTAAGGCTATCTAAAATAACAGTGCCCTTCTATGAACATAGCATTTCTGACATTTTCAAAGTCCTTAAGTGGAGATAAGGATGAGTAATTCACAAAAGGTGACTTTGAAATCTTTGATCTATGGTTGTTTTCAAGCCTTTGGAACTTCACTGATCATCTCCTTTCACTAACTCTATTACAAAGGAGAGTCACACAGTCTTTGAATGAGGATGTATTTGAGTATTAGATCACTTACCTAGCATATGATAAGTTCTGGGCTCAATCCTTGGTACTGGATGACAGAGGTGTGGAGGAGAATGATAATTTTTACTTAAAATAAAAGTAAGTAAGGGTTAGGACATTGTCACATTTCTGGTGAGAGTGGAAGTCAGTACCAGTTCAATAGTTTCTCAGGGCAATAAGGCAATGGCTATGAGTATTTTAAAATGCTACCCAAGGGTGACACAAACATGCAGTGCTATCACTTGAGAGGCAGAAGCAGGGGTATTGGAAGGTCCAGGCCATCCTGTTATTGGCAGCAGGAGTTGGAAGAGAAGACCTTAACAACAGTATATTTGGTTTAGGGTTTGGTTACTTGGTGTTTTGGGTGTTAAGGAGGTAATTACATTTATTTGTTCTTTGTTTCATGGTAAGGAAGTCTTTTGCTTTCCCCTCTTTTGATTGGGGTATATAAGGGCTTTGAGTAATAAACTTGGGGCTGATCCTAGTATTTACTGGGTGCCCTCCCCACTCTATGTCTTATCTATTTCTTTCCTTAATCCATATTCCTACTGACAAGCCAGCAGGACCAGACACTACACATCACTGGCAGCACCCCCAGAGACCTCTACTTAGGCAGAGCTAGGATATCAGTGGATAAAGTGCTTGTTGCAAAATCATGAGGACCTGAGTTCATATAATTGGCATGTAAAAGCTCAGGGTTAGGATTAGTGTTAGGGTTTAGGAGTTAGGGTCAGGGTTGGGGGGTTAGGCTTAGGGGATTTGGGTTAGTGGGGTTTAGAGTTATGATTGTTAGGTTTGGGTTTAGGTTTAGGGTAACTCAATTAGATTTAGGCTTAGTGTTAGGGTCGTTGTTATGGTTAGGGTAACTCGGTGAGGGTTAGGTTAGGGGTTTAGGGTTGGAGTTAGGGTTAGAGAGTTAGTATTGGGGGTTAGGTTTAGGGTTGGTGTTAGACTTAGGGGGTTATGGTTAGGTTGGCTTTAAGGTTTTGGTTAGAGTGTATTAGGGTTAAGTTTAGGGTTAGGATTAGAGTTAGGGAAAAGACTAGGGTTAGGCTTAGGTAGGGTTACAGTTAGGGTAGAATTATTTTCATGGTTATGGTTAGGGCTAGAGTTAAAGTTAGGTCTAGAGTTTGTTAGGATTAGGGCTAGGTTAGGGTTAGGATTTGTTTAGGGTTAGATGGGTTAGGGCTAGGGTTAGTATTGGGTTTAGATGGGTTAGATATGGTAAGAGGGTTTGTTGGGGTTAAAAGTGTGTGTCCTGATTCTATGGCTTGTGACTGATTTTGCTTTCGGAATCCTCAGGCAAGCTTTAATAAATCATAAATAATATATCACTACACAGTATGTTTTCCTTCAATAAGCATTAGGTTATTTAATTGTTCTGGGAATGAGTTACATCCACAGTTGCAGGAAATGAATAGACCGGTTTGGGCATAGGGGCTTTCCATAGGTCCCTCAAGGCATTTCAGTGGCAAGTCAATAGTTCTTAAATATTTGTTTTTCTTCTGTTCCATGTCAGGTGGCTCTCCTGACATGAGACAAGATTTTTAATTTTTCTTTAACAAGCATGCTTCGGTGTAGATAAGGAGAGAGCCACACTCCAACTCCAAAGCCAGCTTTAATCTTTACCTGGACTGAGGCTATAAAAGAACCATTTGCATTATGTCTGTAGAGAAAATTGAACTCCAAAGGAAATGCTAAATAAACAGAAAGGGATGATAACCCAAAAAAATAGATTGCATAGTGCGTTATTAACTTTGAATTTTCTGAATGCTAATGAGAAAGGAACAACAGCCACAGAGAGACATTGGATAATAGAAAAACTACAGAATTAATTTAGCCAATATACTTTAAAAAAATGTCTTGACCTCTGAATGGAAACCAGGACATGTATTATGTTGGGGAAGACATTATGCTTTTGTTTCCACTGGTGAAGAAAAGCTATGGATAACATCAAAATTGATAAAAATTTGATTTGAACAAGACACCTCTTAATTAGAGATGATTGTTCATCAAGCAGCATGACATTTAATCTAAACTAACCTATAAAACTAACATGTTTTTTATTTGATCAGATATAACTTGCCAAAGGAGAAGCTCCACAAAAGTTTAGGGTTGGGGAAGGGTTTTATTTTTGTCTTTTCAGGAGAATAAATATATCCATCTAAGGAATCAGGAGACCATTGGACAATTGAGACATCTGAAGAGAAGGGACAAATAATACAGAAAAAGATGTCTCAAGAAAGGGTGTTAATTGGTCTATCGGTATATATTTCCAACAGGATAAAATTTCACAAATCTTCCCAAATGTCTCTCTGCAGCTGTTGCTCCTTTCTCATTAGCATTCAGAAAATTGAAAGTTAATAAAGCACTATGCAGTCTGTTTCTGGGCTTCTTTATCATCCTGCTTATTTAGTATATCCTTTAGAATCTGAGTTGATCTTTGTATAACTGGCTGCCCTGTAGGATTGTGTGGTATACCTCTAATATGCTTTATATTATAATAAGCAAAAACCTGTTTCATTTTCTGGAGCATTGTCTGTCTTTATTTGTACAGGCATATCCATGATGGCCACGACTTCTATCAAATGTGTAAATAATGAATCAGCCTTTTCCAAACTCAAAGAAGTTGCTCATTGAAAACCTGAATATAGGTATCAATGGTGTGGTGTACATATTTTAATTTTCCAAATTCTACAAAATGGAACACATCCATCTGCCAGATATTGGGGTCAGCCTTCAAGCTGAATGTCAGAAAGCAAAGCAGCTGGCCACTAACTTCTTACCTCTACCTCAGACTGAATGAGCTGATCCTGCCTCCACAAACTCTCATCAAGCCTCAGACTATAACCTCTCCTCTGCGTGGCTGGAGAATGAATACCTGATACTGACTCCTTGCTCCTGTCTTATACCCCTCTAGTGGTGGGATTAACGTTGTGAACTATAATTCTCTTTTAGACTGATTCAGTCTTGTGTAGATCTGAGTGGCCTTGGACTCGCAAAGATCTGTCTACCTCTTAATCCTGAGTCCTAGGATTAAAGGTGTGTACCACCACCTCCTAGTTTGTGGCTGCTGGGTTTAAAGGTGTGTATCACCACTGACCTCTATAGCTTGAGGTTGATTTTGTTTTGTTGAATCCTCAGTCAAACTTTAATAAATCATAAATAATATATCACTACAACAGGGCCGCTGTGATTCCAAGCACCCAAAAGACAGCTCTCAACTCTGTTACTTCACTCATGGAAGATATGATACCGTCTTCTGGTCTCCTCTGGTACCTGACCTGCATTTGTTATACACAGTGGCAAGATTTATATACCTAATTTATTTTAAATTCTTTCTAAAGATAGCATATACACAAAGAGAACCTTTTTAACAATCTGGAGTCACAAATATCTGACTTTTCGCCATTTGCATATCTTGTGCCCTAGGAGGCTAGAAGAAGCATCAGATCTCCTGGACCTGGAATTACAGGTCCCAGAGTTCTGAGCTATCTGAAGGTGTTAGGAAGCAAACACGGATACCCATCAGGAGCACTATTACTGAGCACTGTCCTGTGGATATATATTATTTATGATTATTAAAGTTTGCCTGAGGATTCAGAAAGCAAAGTCAGTCACAAGCCATAGAAGCCAGGCACACACCTTTAATCCCAGGATTTGGGATTAAGAGGTAGACTGATCGCTGTTAGTTCATGGCCACACTGACTACATGAAATTGATGCAGTGCTAAGAAAAACAGCTCACACAAAGATGATCTCAGCACTTGTTATTATGTGTCTTTAATCTCAGCACTACAGAGGTATAAGAGATAGGAGCAGGGTCTTCAGTAGATTCAGCCTCAGGATTCTCTCTAGTCACGCCAAGGAGAGGCAGCAGTTGGAGGCTTGCTGGAGAGCACGTGAATCAGCTCTTTCAGCCTGAGGTAAGAGGTAAGAGCTAGTGGCCAGCTGCTTTGCTTTTCTGATCTTCAGCTTGAACCCCAATATCTGTCTCTGGGTCTTTTATTTATCGTGTTACACTCTCCAACTCCCAAATATGTCATTATAATGCAGAAGATGAGTATGCAGAAGATTAAAATGCAGAAACTCAAGAGTCTAATCACGTCACATCCACAGTCAAGTTCAAAAGGAGAGTAAATACATATGCTTTCTTCTTTTTTGTTTTCTTCACTCTTAGACAACTCAGGGCTCAGCCTATGGTATAATGATACCCAGAGTGGAGTGGGCTCATTATTCTATTCAACCAAAAAATCAAGACAATATGTCATAGATATGCACACTGTCAACCTAATCTCCATAATATCTCATTCAAACACTTTCCAAGTGATTTTAAGTTGTATCTAGTTGACAGTTAAAATTAACCATCAAATTCCAAATTTTGTGACTTAACACAGAATCAGAAACATTCCTATCAAACAAAGCACTACATCCATGTTTGCCAAGGTCTCATTAATCATAATGGAGAACACATTCAACTTCTTAAATCCCACAGTCTTAAAAATTCCAATACTTAAAAAGTCTACAGTCTCCTAACAGTATACTATGTAGAAGTAAAAAACAAAACAAAACAAAACAACAAAAAACCAAGTAACATCCCCACTGTTTTCAAAAAGGGAAGAGGAGGAGCATAGCAAATAATCACATTTAAGGAAACCAAAACTTAACAGCTTTCTGTATCATGCTGTGCAATTTGAGACATTTAATAATATTCTGGGCTGTCAGAGACTTGGGATGCTCCATCTTTCAAGCTCTGCCATCCCCAGCACACACAGCTTCCCTGCCATCCCAACTCTACTCCACACCTTCAGCTCTTCTTGGTCATCTTATGGTCCTAGAATCTACAACACCTCCACATGTCCACTGTAACCAGTGTTCTCCCAGGGAATGTCTGAAAGCGTTTCAAATCTATTACAAGGTCATCAGCTCTCCATGAGCCCTTCAGTCTTGAATTGGGCAGTCTAGACACTTGGGCAGAAGAATCCCAGCAAATTCCCAAACATATAGTCAAAGAGGATAATGAAGCAGGTACTAACTATAATGTTCACAAGGAATTATGATGTTTTCATGTATTATAAGCTGGTGAGGAAACAGTGAATCCATATTATTGAGAAATGCTAAAGTTTGTTTCCTCACCATAATTTATCAGAGCATGAAACTTTTGGTGAGGCCCACCCAACACCCTATAATAGATTACCTGAAGTAGTCAACTTACATTTCACCCAATGTGGGATAAATGACAAGGTTGCTCCTTGACCTCCAATTGGAGAGACAGGCAAGTGAGACACTTCTTAAATTACACTTATGTTTTTTGATAAGCCTATTTTAATAACTTTGCTTCCAATAACTTGTAGAGGGTACACTTTTATTTTTCCCATTTTTTCAGTGAATCAGAAGCCTTACTGTAATGAGCATAGTTTTTAAAAAATGCCATTTACACATGTAAAAAATAGCTTACTCAGGAACCCCACTACACCCAAGGCAGCACCTGCTAACCAAAACTCAGTGATATA